ATATAAACTACCTCATCATCTACTACTAGACCATATTTATCAATTTGGTCGGAGATAACAACAAACGAAGAAGAAATAATTTGGCGACCCAAGTCACAATGTGACCTTGGGTTCGCGACAAGTTTGCTACTTGGGATGAGACACTTGCCTCATTTCTAGTGGACATGTGTACTTATTTGTGTTAAAAAATAATAAAAAATAGTAAAATTTGTATTCTTTCATTCTCTATATATAGAGAACACATTTGATAAATTTTAAAACACAATTGCAATTTATAAATAAATAAATATTTTAACTTTAATTGAGTTGAGAATAAAGATAATCGGAATTAAAATGTTAAGTGGTAGGTGGAAGAGATAAATAATTTATAATTATTAAGTTTGATTTAGTTGGATTAGGTTAGGTTGTGGATAGTGTTATAAACGAACCGAACCGAGTTTCGATTGTTCGAGCTCGTGTTCGTTTACATTCAAACAATGTTCGTGTTTGTTCGTTTATTTTTCAAAGAAAAAATCGTATTCATATTTGTTTATTTAATTTTTATCAAAGTTCAAGTTCATCCGAGTTCAAATAATTTAATAAATAAACTTTTTAAATATGTTGATTAACTCATTTGTTCGTTCGAACTCGTTCGAATTTGAAATAAAAAAATATAATAATCTTTTTTATATTTTAAATTTCTTGTTAAAAATATTAAGCAAATATATAAAAAAAGTATATTAAATTAATGTTCGCGAACAATATCGAACGAGCGCTCGTGTTCGTTCGATTATTAAAAGAGCCTAATTTTCTGTTCGAACTCGGCTATTTATCAAACGAACAAGCTTTTGTTCGCAAATGTTCGATTCGTTTACAGCTCTGATAAAGATAGTCTTAGATCGGCAGAATTAAAAAAATCCACCAGAAAGTACTCCAAAGAGTGATCCAACCTTCAAAAACACTCGAAATGGCCAATTACTTATTATTCATACACCACGGTCACTACAGTACCCAGTAAAACGAAAAAATTGGTGAGAAAAATTTTGAAAATCAAGAAAAACTACGCAACTTAATTATTTCGACAATACATGAAATATGCAGAAAATAAAATAAAACAAGGCTTATTTATTCTCTCTTTCGGCCTACGACTTACTCCGAGTCCGACTTTTGTTGTTTGCCAACATCTTTCAGCTTCTCTTTCAACTCACCTGTCTGCACAGCAACCACATGTTTCAGAGCTTATTACTGATGAAGGCAAAAACAACATCTTCACTAATTATTATTAGTATAAAAACTTGATTTGGCACGACAAAAGGAAATAATGGTGAAACCTGATGCATGCTAAGAATGATATCAGATCCTCCCACAAACTCCCCTTTGATAAATATTTGAGGAAATGTTGGCCAGAGGCTGCAAAAACATTACGACGATGTGTTATTAACGGGGCAAAATAGTTCACATCTTACATTCTAATTTCCAGATAAATTGTTTACTAGAGCAAACATCCCTTGAAGAGAGAAGCACCAGCATAACTGGAGACCAGGAACTATCATTTGAAACCAGACAAATACAAAGTACCCTTTTGCAAACTCGCGTTACTCATTCTTCCAAAAAATAAATTTAAGAATTTTGTGCTAAATTGAGCCGCATTTATGCAACTGAATCAATCAATCCATGTTATTTCTTATCAAATATAAGTCGGTAAATGAGAAGTACCCGGCACAAACCAGAGGATAAGTACTGGAAAGATAAAACACATTATTTGTAACTCCTTAAGTCTGCATACAAACAG